ATGAAATAAACACATGCAAATATTTTTAAAGGATAAGCTACCAAAATATTTCCTCCTGTAATGGCCTGTCTTACAGCTCCCATCTACCTTATGGAGTGTGTAATTAGTACAAAGCTTAAAATTTTATTTGCATTAAGTTTTTTTTTTTTTTTAAAGAACAGGCTTAAAACAAAAACAAAACAAAACCAACAAGTACAATTACAGCTTTACAACTAATTTTTTTTTTCTATCCACCCTGAAGTTTCTTTCATGTGCTAATGGTAGTATTTAAAAAACCTCTTCTCCTTTAACTTACTTAGATCTTTAAGGACCTCACACATTTAAAGACTTTTTACATTCACCAGAAACTTCCACAGTGGTCTGAGGGCTGACAAACAGTATGATTAATGGACAGTATTGATTTAATTTTCTACAAGAGTTTTCCGTTCTATAAGGAAAATTGTTCGTAATTCACGTCAAACTTTTTGCCATGTTTACAGATTCTTAAAAATAGAATAGAAAGCGTAGTGAAGTTTTTCCTTCATTCAAAAAACACCATTTGAAAGTTCTGGCCTATAAAACAATCAAGAGCTGATCAATGGCTAGGAGTATCTTCCTAAGACCAAGGAAACTGCTTTTATTTGTCACCATTTTAATGAGGTTTTACCAGCACATATAGAAAGGAAACAGGAAATAAAACAGTAAATCAGTTTAATAAAGAAGCTTCAAAACATAAATACAAAGTGTTGTAGAGAACAATGGGATATTTTACAAGAAAGATACATAAAGATTCAGTATAAAGTTTCTAGTTAAAAACCATTAAACAGATGTCAAAGTCTTTAGATAGTAAATTATTAAGGTTTCTTCAAATGTCTTAGCAAAAGGAACCAAACTAAAATTTCTTTTTCTGGAGACAAAGAGTGGGACTAATTTTGTTCTCAGGGACTTTTTATACTTTGTATCTGAAGAAAAACTTAACATATAAGAGCAAAACAACTACTGATTCTCATTCTCATCCATATTTTGATAGTACCTTTAAAAAAAAGAAAGTCTTCTGCTGTTTCGCTTTCCTTAAAGGACAGATATTTCAAATGGAAATTTAATTTAAGGGAGTCAACAGGCAGGGATCTTTGCTGGGTAGAAAAGGAGACGAAGAAGGATGCTTTGCCCAGGGCATCCCTGTCTCAAACTATTCTAACATCAGACCCCAAACTTAAATGACATGAGACTCAAAACTGGAAACACATCACGAATGGTATTTCACTTTATAGACTAGTAAAAATAAAACAACACACTGCCACTTGAAATAATGGAACTTCCTTATCCTGCTTATTTTCTCCATCTCCACAGGAGCCTTACTTTAGGGCTCTTTTCAGTCAGGCATGTGAACGAGGTCCGCAAGTACTGTAAATCTTTACCCAGAGCCAAAGGTCATAGGGTTATCTGTGCTATGTAGTTTTAGGCTAGATGACTTTCTTTACTCTTTTCTTTCTCTTTTTAAAGCAGGAAAACAAAACAAATGCATATTAATCAGAGCAAGCTAATTTAGGTACTAAAAAAGTTCCTCTTCTACAGATAAACTGCTTTCTCAAGAATCCACTAAATATCAACTTTTCAGGCATTCTACAAAGAGAAACCAGATGTAACAGAGCCCCCCTCCCCACCTCCATTGTCTGCTAGAAAACTTGCCACACAGCTGCTAAAGCAGTAAAACAACTTCAAACCTACATGCATTTCGTTCTTGGGGGAAAAAAAACAACAACAACTTGGCTTTATCTTAAAAAATAAAGGGTGGGGGGAGTAGCTGTTTATCAGTTTTGTTCACATATTACACTGCATTTAAAAACAAGACAGATGTTTTTCACAGAGTGTACATGTTTTAGAGCATTTTGGAAAGCTGATGACTATTCAAGACTAAGAATATAAAAGCCCAGGAAAATTCATCAACATTCTTTTCTCAATTATTTTTAGGGGTTTGATATGGAACTTTATTATTTTTTTAAATATGGTAAAAAATATTTAAGAAAATGCAGGCATTTATTGCAGCCTTCCGTCTCTCTCTCTCCAAAATGATCTTTCTAAAGTGAGAAATAAAATTGTTTGGTATAACGTCCCATAGGATGCCATCACTACAATTCTGATACAGTACAATATACAACAAAAGAATAGAAGGCACTGATTCTTTCAGGAGGCACTGTCATTTTAATGCTTTTCACCATCCTCCGAATTTAAGGGGCAAAAATGCAAATTATGGTAGTAGTGCTACTGCAGTGTAAAATATCTTCTGTAATTTGTTACAAGATTGAGTTTGGAATTTGCCAACTATACTTCTCCCATGACACAGCAGCAATGATTTACCTGATCTTCTTTGCTTCTTTCTTATTTAAAATTCCTCTCTATTTTTTTTTTTTTTGTGGCAAGTAAGAGAAACTGATAAATGTTTAGAACTGCACCAAATTAAGATTCTAAGTATGACCTTATCTATATGGAAACTATACGAAGAATTTCAGTTTCCCAAGGTCTAGGAAGGTGATTTTTAAAGAAGACTGCACTCAAAGTGATTAACACAGAAAATGAGAATGTTCAAAGTTTCACATAGTAAGAGAAATTTCAATGAGATTTGTTGGGTACCTCACTTTCCTGAAAATGACCTAACGTCCTTTGGTTTATAGCTATGCTGACAGAGGTTTCTTCTGCTTAAGTTTTTTTCTCAGTTTCTTTCAAGGTAGCTAAAGCCAGAAAGATGCCAGGTCTCTTGGAGCAGGACTGCATCAGTATGCAGCCTTAATTCCAGCTGTACACTGATTCCCCATTTCAGATCTTCTGAAATCTAAACATATATTAAGCTGCTACAGTAGTATACTAACCTCAACTCAACATGATCGAAACTCGACTCAGTATCTCCCACTTCCCCAAACCTGGTCTTAATCCTGAAAGCCCTACTCCAATTAAAGTTCCATCCACCCAGAGCTCTTGGGAATCATTCCAACCTATTCCTCTCCTTAATCATATTTATAAAGAGCTACTAGTTACTGAGCACCTAGTCTGTACCAATAAAATGTGCTGAGGGTTCCACATACACTAGCACATTTAATCCCCAACATCCTAGACATTTACAGCAAATTGAGGATCATGAACGCAGAGTGACTTCACCATGATCACATTCCTGGTGGGTGGGGAGCTAGGACTCAAATTCTGGCCATCTGATCTCAAAACCCAGGCTTCTATTTTAATTTCTAAATGTATATACACTTAAGCTGACCTTTTTTGGTGTACAGTTTTACTTAACAGATGTACAGATTTGTTAACCTCCACCACAATTTGGATACAGAATTCCATCACATCAAGAAACGCTTTTGTGGTTCCCCTTTGTAGTTAAATCCTGCCCTTACCTCTACAATACAGCAATCACTAATCTAATACTGACTTTTCAAAGATGTCATATAAAGGCAACCATGCAGATTACAACCTTTTGAGACTGGCCTCTTTCACTCAGTATAATGCCATTGAGATTCACCCACAAATCCTGCAAGCAGCAATATAGTTCATTGCTTTTTATTGCTGCATATTTCAATTGTATGAATATACTGCAGCTTGTTTATCCATTCACCCATTGAAGGACATTGATTGTTTCCAGTATTTGGGGTGTAATGGAGCTACACACTTGTGTATAGGTTTTTGTGTGAACATACATTTTCATGTTTCTAGAGGAAAGACGTAGGATGGGACTTCTGAGTCGTATGACACAGACATACTTCACTTAAAAAAAAGGTACTAAACTGTTTTCCAGAGTGGCTGTACCATTTTGCATTCCTTCAATAATGCATAGGACTTCCAGGCAGCCTGCATCCATGTCAGCACTTGTTATTGGCAGTTTTGGCATTTAAACATTTTTCAGTCATTTTAATAGGCATGTAGTGGTAGCTTATTATAGTTTAAATTGTTAAATTTTCATTTATTTCCCTAAAGGCCAATGATGCTGAATATCTTTTCATAGACCCCTTAGGTGTCACTACTGTATCTGAAGTCCTCCCATCAGGCCATAGGTAGCCATAGGTAACCAGTTAAGTCCTAACTGTTCTACATCCAAAACAACTTCAGTCTGCCTTATGTCCAATAAAATACTGCTTTAGCTCACATTCTCACCATCGTAGATTATTTCAACAACCATCATATTGTCTTCTGGCCCTTACTCACTGCATTTTCTACACCCATCCCCAACACTGTCATTACCATTTAGCTTTCTAAAACAAGGGGCGCCTGGGTGGCGCAGTCGGTTAAGCGTCCGACTTCAGCCAGGTCACGATCTCGCGGTCCGGGAGTTCGAGCCCCGCGTCAGGCTCTGGGCTGATGGCTCAGAGCCTGGAGCCTTTTTCCGATTCTGTGTCTCCCTCTCTCTATGCCCCTCCCCCGTTCATGCTCTGTCTCTCTCTGTCCCAAAAATAAATAAATGTTGAAAATAAAATAAAATAAAATAAAACAAGCCATGTTCTATTCTCATTTAAAAACTTTTGATGGTTCCTCATTGCTTGTGTTGTAGGACAAAGACCAAATCAATTATTAGGGTACACAGGACTCTTAAAACATGGGTCCTGTTTAACTCTATGGCTTCAGTCTCTACACCTCCTACCTATGTAACCCCTGTTTTAGCCATAAAACCACCAATGAGGCTACTTCTTTAATCTTCTTTTTTGTACACTGTAACTTCCTGTAATTGGAGTGATTTTCCTCCATTCTTTACTAGGCAAACCACTCTCCATCATATGGTAAAAATTAGCCATTTATCCTTTGTGCTTCTAGAACACTCTGATTATACCTCAATTTTGTCTATTAGCACATTTTCCTATGAATGATGATAGTTCCTTCATGCTCAGCCTAAATGCTTTAGAAGCAGGCATGCCATCTTAATGCTCACATTCTCTGTTCCCAGTACAGGATCTGATACAGAGTATGTGCTTTGAAAAAATATACACTAATTTTTAAATTTTAACAATAATGGAAAATAAACCTAACTTCCACAATTAGGATGGGTAAACTTTATTATGAAAATTTTACGAAACAAGACATGACAATTACATTGGTATAGATAGCAATCTCATGTCATTAAACCAAGTTTTGTGAAATATATATTGTATCAACACTAAAATGAGAAAATTTGCATTTTTAATTAGCTCTATCTTCTAGGCAATGTCTTCAAGAGGTGTTAGGAAAAGAAATCACACAACTCAAAATTGCATGCTACAAAGACGGTTTCAATTTTGTAATTCATTTACTGGTAATTAATTTGCATGAATTTAAAGTTAACTGTAGCCCATTATCAGTAATTTCTAAACTGAGTTCATCTTCTGATTTGCAAGGCCACTGAGCTTCTGTGTCCTAAGCCTGTCCAAAAGAACAACCAAGCAAGCATAGAAGTGTTTTTATCTGAGGCCTATGGAGTTCCATAAAACACTGTACTCACTGTATTCACACAGTGTTAACAAGGGCTTTGTAAACAGTATTGTAGCTCTAAGAGCCTATACTAAAGCTCAATGATAGCAGCTGAATGGACTCAAAAATATTCTTCTTTTGAGTGACCACTAAATGCTCTTGCATTCACACTGTGGCTTCAAAGAACAGTTGATGTTATGGGTTTATGGAATCCATGGCTATATTTCCTTTATTTTCTTGTTCATTTAAAAACACGAAATTTAATTAACTTAGCAATACCACAGTTGCCTAAAATGAAATGTACCAAATCAAGAGTAATTAGGTATTCTGAGGGGGACAGAATACATCATTAGATTTGTGACTGCATGCCTCTTGAGAGCTGACGCAAGCAAAGGAAAGGAGAAATTAAAACACTTTAACACAGTTACAGAACTGACTTAAAGACAAGCATAAACCAAACATCCAAATACCTTCACTTTATAAAACTGTAGGGTATGTGTGTGTGGGTATACACATATACCCATGTATATACATGTATATGTATATACACATACATAAACATATACATACTTATAGTTATGTTTATATATATAATATACGTTTATATATTTTTTATACAGTGATTATAGTTTCCAAGGGTTGAGTATAAACTGATTTAAAACAATAGAACATGCTATTTTCTAAAGAAATCTTTATTATTTGTGTGCATGGAAACTGCCATGTACAATGGGACTGCAGCAAACAGGGAGGGTAGACTTTTGTAGCATCTCTGAACCAGAAAGGAAGCGAAAAAGAAAGCTCACAAAAACCTCCTCTTTCAGGGAAGAGGCAGTTCTGAGCTGTTTCACATCTTCCCTCTCCGCATTAAATTTTACACACTGCAACAGAAACATATTTCTAAATATAAATCTAATCAGGTCACTTGCTTGCTTAAAATCATTTAGTGTCTTCACACTGCCCTTAGGATAAAGACCAAATTCCCTCATGTAGCTTACCAGGTACTGGCTTCACTTTGTGCTCATATAATAATACTTCATTTTCTCTGGAACATGGTCCCCCTCACTTCCTGAACAACTCAAGTGAATTTCACCATTCTGTGACCATCTCCTGGGTTCTGTCCTTCTGACAGAACCCTCTGCAGAACCTTCTGGCAGAACTCTCTGCCTCTGCAGAGGCAGGTTTACTATGAAGTTGTGAAGCTTAATTTTCAGAACCCTTCACTTGTATGAAGCCTACACCTACAGTGTACAAGGCCATACACCAACAGTATACTTTTAGATTATTGTTATTTTATTATGTATTTGTTTACTAGTTCCCATATAACCTGTACCTGCCCCTGACCCCTTGCCTAATGAGTCCTACTCATCCTTTAGATTTCAACCTAAATGTTACTTCTTCCTGGAAGCCATTCCCATTCCAGCCCCGAAACAGGTCAGAAACACCTGCCTAGGGGCGCCTGGGTGGCGCAGTCGGTTAAGCGTCCGACTTCAGCCAGGTCACGATCTCGTGATCCGTGAGTTCGAGCCCCGCGTCGGGCTCTGGGCTGATGGCTCGGAGCCTGGAGCCTGCTTCCGATTCTGTGTCTCCCTCTCTCTCTGCCCCTCCCCCGTTCATGCTCTGTCTCTCTCTGTCCAAAAAATAAATAAAAAACGTTGAAAAAAAAATTAAAAAAAAAAAAAAAGAAACACCTGCCAAATGATGTTACGGAGATCTGATGTCCACTATCAAAAAGTTCATCACACCATATTTTAGATGCTTATTTAACTGTTGGTCTTCCTCCTAGACTCAAATACTATGACCATGTCTACATTATTATGGCAGTACCTAACATTTAGACTATCATATACTAAGCTTGGTAAATATCTAAGAATCAAAGAATGAACTTGTGAATGAGCACTCAGTGGCAGACAAAATGCAGGGAAGAAGCAGCAAAACTGGAAGATTATACCTGAGAATCTGTGATTCATCTACTCCCTGGATGTTTGAGAAGAAATGCATTGACTGAAGGATGATACCCATGAAAGGCCATTTTGTCCCCCATGTAAAAGTCAAAAAGTATGGGGAAATAGGACTAGAAACAATATATGCAATAAAAAGTGCAGTAAAGGCAGACTTAAGAGAGGCTTAGTGTCAATAACAATTAAAAACTGTAATTGGCCTGCAGCTCCTGGGTGGCTCAGTTGGTTAAGTGTTCAACTTCAGCTCAGGTCATGATCTTGTGGTTCATCAGTTTGAGCCCTGTGTTGGGCTCTGTGCTGACAGTTCAGAGCCTGGAGCCTGCTTCAGATTCTGTCTCCCTCTCTTTCTGCCCCTCCCCTGTTCACGCGCTGTCTCTCTCTCTCTCTCAAAACTAAATAAACATTAAAAAAACAGTAAAAAACCAAACCAAAACAAAACTGTAATTGGCCAGACAATTAAAAGAGTCAGCAATTTAGGAAGCTAGAAGGCACAAAAACAAATTCTGAAAGATTTCTAACAAGAATAACAAACTTAAAGCTAAAAGTTATTAACTTATAAAGAATTGATATCGGCTATTTTGAAAAAAACATACTAGGTCATCTAGACCTAACTTTACCAAGCTTTAATGTGCATACTAAGCACCTAAGAATCCTGTTAAAACTGAGATTCTGATCCAGTAGATCTGGAGAGGGAACAAGGAAGTCTGAAATTCAGCATTTCAATAAACTTCCTGATTATACTGCTGATCCTAAGACTGCACTTTGAAGAGCAACCACATTAGAGTCTATACCTGATGAGAAACAAAGGACACCTACCTAAACAGATTCAAACTGAGGAGATAGGGAAACATACAAATGGATGTCAAAAGAAAGCTGGAGTAGCAATATTTACATTGGGCAAAACAGACTTTAAAACAAAGGCTATAACCAGAGTCTACACCTGGAATTGGCAAAATACACTAATATGGTCTGCTGCCTTAGGGCCAGCCTGCCAGTTAAATGGTTTTCATATTTTTAAAAAATTGTTTTTAATTTATTTATTTTGAGAGAGACAGAAACAGCATGAGTGGGGGAGGGGCAGACAGACAAGGAGACAAAGAATCCCAAGCAAGCTCTGTGCTGTCAGCGCAGAGCCCTACGCAAGGCTTGAACATATGAAACCTCAAGATCATAACTTGAACCAAAACCAAGAGCCAGATACTTAAACCACTGAGCCACTCAAATACCTGGTTTTTAGACTTTTAAATGCTCAGAAAATAATTTTAATAATACTTAATGATACATCAAAAATACATGAAAGTCAAATTTCAGTGTCCATAAACAAAGTTCTATTGGAATATAACCATATTCATGCATTTATATATTTATTTTGGCTGCTTTTGTGCTATAGTGGCAGAACTGAATACTTGTGGCAGACCTTATGGTCCACTCTGTATTAGTCTGCTTGGCTATCATAACAAAATAGCACAGACTAGATGGCTTAAAAAACAGAAATTAATTTCTCACAACTCTGGAGACTGAGAAGTCTAAGATCAAGGTCTGGCAGTGTTCAGTTTCTGATGAGAGATCTCTTCCTGACTTGCAGACAGCCACCTTCTCACTAAGTCCTTGCTCACACGGTAGAGAGCTCTTGCTGTTTCTTCCTTTTCTTACAATTCACCAGCCTATCATAGTAGAGCTCCGCCTAGTTTAACTCTCGACACCTACCCAAAGGCCATATTTCCAAATCCAGTCACGTTAAGGGCTAGGGCTTCAACATATGAATTTGATGGGGACATAAATATTCAGTCCACAACACCCACAAAGCCCAAAATATTTACTATCTAGCCCATAACAGAAAAAGCTTGCCTGCCCCTGGTCTAGATCCCTGCTTGTCAAAGTTGGCAAGAATGCAAAGATTTTAGGCCCCACCCAAACCTACTAAATTAAAATCTGCATTTTAACAAGATCTCTGGTATAGATAATAAAGCTCAGGAACCACTGGTTTCCAAATCTAGTGATCATGGTAAATCACATGGAAAAAATATTTTTAAAATACAGATTTCCAGGCTCCACCCAAGGAGGAGAACAATTTTTAACAACAATTACAACACCTAACTTTTGTTTAAGACTCTCAATGCAGTTCGCTAAGAGCTGTGCTAAACATTATGTGCATTATTTCATTTAATCCTCTTAACGTTCTAAAATAGCTATTATTGGGGCATCTGGGTATCTCAGTTGGTTAAGCATCTGACCCTTGATTTCAGCTCAGGTCATGGTCTCATGGTTCAAGAGTTCGAGCCCCCGGCATCAGGCTGTGCACTGGCAGTGTGGAGCCTGCTTGGGATTATCTTTCTCTCCCTCTCTCTCTGCCCTTCCCCCACTCACTCAAAATAAACAAATACACTTAAAATAAAATAGCTATTATTATTATCCCTATCTAAAAGATTAGGCAAATAACCAGGACTTAATTTGTTAATAAGTTACAGAAATTATGTCAGGCAGCAGCCATAAAATTTACTTCACCAATACTTTTCTTTCAGCTGTCAGTGCCAAGTGCCTCCTACAATAGAGCATTATAAATGATGTACCATGGGAATGACTGACACCATTTGAGGTTGCAAGAGGATTCCCAGAAGGGTTGAGACTTAAAAGCTAGGCAAGATTTTTCCAAATGCAAAGAGATATATCTACATTTTCATCCAGGAGTATCAAAAATATTTCAGAACGGCAGATAATCTCATTCAAGAAAAGTTTAAGGAAAGATAACCAGAAGATGCACAGTAATTTCTGTACAGTTCTTACAGTTTCATAAATCTGCATTTTGTTGCAAACTGGCAAATGAAAATATCTCCTTTGTTACTGTCTTGATGTTTTTTTATTAAAAATTTTTTAATGTTTATTTATTTTTGAGAGAGTGAGAGAGACAGAGAGATTGAGAGCAGGGCAAGGACAGGAAGAGAGGGAGATACAGAATCTGAAGCAGGCTCCAGGCTCTGAGCTGTCAGCACAGAGCCCAACATGGGGCTCAAATCCACAAACTGCAAAATCATGACCTGATGCTTAACCCACTGAGCTACCCAGGTGCTTCATTACTGTCTTAATATTAACAGTACTTTTTTAATAACAGGATTGTTTAAGAAATGGATGCTCTGTTTCTTTTGAGTTATTGTTTTTTTAAATTTTCCAAGTATTAAGGTTCTAAAATTTGAGCTGTGTATCTATCATATTTGGCATGTTCAGATCCCATAAGTGATTAACATTTTAAATTAAGAAAAAAAATAGTTGAGTATTTCCTAAAGTCAGCATTGAAGTTTCAATGTATTTTGGCTAGATAACAAATTAAACACAATACAAGAAATGGTAACTTAAAAGATATTTAATAGCAAAGTGAAAAACTTTTACCACGTTCCCTTTGTCATTATTTGTACTCCCATGTTGTCAGTTTTCTGGCCTACATAGCAGGTGGTTCCCAAAATTATTCATGTAAGAAGTCTACTGGCTTCATTCAAATGAGTTTATTTTATAATTCTTTCAAAGAAAGGAATGAAACAGTGAAATCAGATACTGTTCGGAGGAGCCATTTCTATGAAAAGTAGAATTTAACAGTGATAAAGCACAGGAAGAACTGAGAAGAGGTAAAAAATGTGAGGTATGTCCCCAGCGATCTTGCCTGTAGTAAATAACAGCAATAACGTCAATCGAATTTCTACACCAATCCCTAAAAATTATCTGATAACATATAAATGCAAAGTGATCTCACAGAAGCCAGTGCTGCTTTATAAAGTCAACACTAATCCGGACAGAATGCTTAATGATGTCTATGTGATTGATAATATGTTACTTTATAAAACAGAAGAATCCTGGCATCTGCAATGACATTTGAGTTGGTAATTGATATGAAGGCACCAAATTATTTGAAATGAATTCATAGGCTAAAAGTCAGTATGGGATACTTGAAACTATACACCATCAGGAAGATTTGTTTATAAAACATGGTTTCTTTTTTTACTCTGTTGCAAGGGGTGCAGTGAGAAAGTTGCTAAACAACCACAATACTAGGATTTTCACCTGTAGCATGTTTCCAAAGATTTTTCTGAGTGTTATCTAAGGCTTCCTTGTGTGTGGGGAATGAGGGAACACAATCTCTAAAAAGACCCTGGCTTGCCTTAAAACGTGACTTCCAGATTTCATACACTCAGTGATTCTAGTTCTCTTCAAAACAAAATCACTACTATAGTAAGGTTCACAATGAACCCTTTCTGATAAAAGTAGTCTCTTTTATGCCACAAAATCTTGTCCTGTCCTAACTAAAGTCTTAACTAAAGAGACTATAATTCCCTCCAGCTATATGAGTTAGGCTCACCAATGGTAGTTCTTTATCTTCTTTCCTCAGATCTGTAACCACACAACCAAATCCTACTCTGTTATGGCAAACAATAGCATCCAGAAATCTGACTTAATTTTACCATGCTTCCATATAAACTGGCTAAGGTATTCTAAAATTACACTGTTGCCGAGGGACTGTTTCTTTTGCCTCCTACTCCCCTGCATAACCGGGAATTCCGATTTTGGATTTTTCAAAAGAAAGAAAGAAAAAAAAAAGATTGAGTTTAGAAGGTGTACAGGGGATCCAGAAATGTTACTAATGATTTTTGATATTCTGGATCTGTAAAATTGGTGCTAAATCTCATGCTCACTAATCAAGCTTGCTCTGAAGTTTAATAGCAAACATTCTTTGGCAAAGTAGAATCTAAAGATTATCAGTGTTCCAAGTGCTAAATTAACAACAACACCATCTAAATAATAATCTTCCCTTTCCCTCTTATATAAATATTGAAGAATTAAGTTTCTGACAGCTTATGAAAAGTTTCTGACAGCTTATGAAAAGTTTCTGACAGTCTTCTTTGTTATTAGAAACTCTAACTTCAGAATTTAAAGTCAATTTCTGAGGGGCGCCTGGGTGGCGCAGTCGGTTAAGCATCCGACTTCAGCCAGGTCACGACCTCGCGCTCTGTGAGTTCGAGCCCCGCGTCGGGCTCTGGGCTGATGGCTCAGAGCCTGGAGCCTTTTTCTGATTCTGTGTCTCCCTCTCTCTCTGCCCCTCGCCCGTTCATGCTCTGTCTCTCTCTGTCCCAAAAATAAATAAATGTTGAAAAAAAAAATTTAAAAAAATAAAGTCAATTTCTGAAATAAACAGACCAAAAAATGGAGCAAATTATTTCAGAAAGTCTATTATCAGGGAACACAAGTGTGCTATTAATTTTGCTTCAGTTTATTGTGTGATAAATTTA